TCGTTCGGTGTCTCACTTCAGTCAACGCCCTTCCGTCGCAGCGAGTCCAGGCCGCCATCCCTCACTGTTCTCGATGTATGACTCGCACAGTGACGCTTTGTGTGCCCCGGCCTATCTTCATCCCCCGCACTCACATGTAGCCGCTCCCCTAGCCCCCCCCCGTATCGGTGGGCGGTCGAGTGGGGCATCACTCGACCCGGTCGGGGTCGGGGTCGGTGGTGGTGCGGGGACTGGACGGCAGTATCGGGATCGGCGGTTGGCGAAGCCGTGGGAAAGGCGGAGGGAGAGGGAGAGGGAGAGGGAGAGGGAGAGTGGGGATTTAAATCATCGGGGGTTGATGGGGGGGTTTCGGGTGTTGTGGCATCGGTGAAGGGAGGGGGGGATGAGGTGGCTTGAGGAGGGAGGGGGGAAAGGGGTTCGCATTCGTTGGGTTGGGTGAATGTAATGGTGGTTGACTGTTGGGCTATGAGTACGGATTGGGTTCTGGGATAATTGGTCAGCTGTCTTGGCTGGGCTAGCTTGGGTTTGACAAGAGTCGCCCATGGATATCTGGAGGGTAAAGGGGAGGGGGGCTGCGATACGTTTGAAGGGCGGCAATTGCGCCTTGTCGGAATGCAACGAGTGCTCGGGTAGGATGGGGCTGAGGGGCAATGACAATAAATCGCCGCTCTAAACCAGGGATAATAGCATGCTTCAACGATCTGCGAGACATGAATGGAGAAAAGTAAAACGTCAAATGGGCATTAAGTATATACAGCCACCGCCCTAGATCCGGAAACCATTATTCACAAAACCTTGCTTCCGGGAGAGCCCAGCCAATACTTTGTCCCAGCCAAACCATGGATATAGTGAACAGAAAAGCAAACCTGGCGCACACAAAAGCAGAAGCGTCGACCCCTATCAGGCGCCATTGTATTGTCGTATTGACACCGTCAATCGTGCAGAATGAGAAAACCGGAAAACCCCATCTAAGCGAAGCCAACATAAACCTTGATGACGGTTGCACCGGGCACAATGTTAAGTCCGATGCCGTCAAGCTTCTCCATGCCCTTGGTGTAGGCATTGTCGCCAATGCCGCCGGCAAGAATGGTCGAGTCGACGCCGCCTTCCGACATACGGCAGCCGGGAACGTCCAGGTCGTAGGCCTGGGCGACCAGAGAAGAGCAGTCGGCACCGGACCAGCCCTCGTTGCTGGTGTTCTCAAAGTCGAACTCGGCCCAGACACCAGCGTATTGGCCATGGATGGTAAGTTCGACCTTGTTCGGCGCAAAGGCGCAGACGCCCTGAGTGTTCGAGTCGGCCACCACGGTCTTGGTCTCGCCGGGCTGGAGGGTGAAGATGAGCTGCTCCTGGCCCTCGACCTTGAACATGCCAGTGAGCTGCTTGTCGGCGCCCATCTTGTTACCGCAGATAACCTGGTAGGGCTCCTTGGCGACGTTGGTATACTCCTGGACGTATTTGTACTTCTTGGCGATCTTGTTGGGAACCAGCATCAGGTTGGAGTTCCATTTGCAGCCGCCGTTGGTGCCCAGGTTGCCCGTGTACATGACCTGCTCGTAGGTCACACGCTTCGATTTGCTCGAGGTGCCACCGCAGAAAGGAATGAACTCGTCGGACTCGGTCGGCTCCGAGGGCTTCGGCTTCGGCGACGGTGAGGGAGCAACGCTCGCGGCTGGTTCGGCCACCTTGGCAGCGGCGGACTTGGGAATCGGCTTGTTGTGGACGTTCTTGACATGGGCCGGACCATTGCCCCTGGCCTGGACGCTGCGGTGGAGGTGAGCATGGCCCGACGGGTGGGCGACAGCGCCGAGCGCGCCGGCCAAGAGGAGGAAGTGAGTGAGCTGCATGGTGACGGTGTATTTTGTGCTTTTTTTGTCTATCCAAAGGTCGTCGTCTTCGTCAAAGATGGTCGTTAGGCCTTGGACTGCCGCTGTAATTGGTTCGGTCTCGCAATTGCGTAGAGAATGTGATTGTAATTGCAAGTGATGCTTGCGATCGCCTCGAGAGAGCGGGATATGTTGTCGTGCGCGGTTTAAAGGAGTGAACTGAGATGCGAGATCTCAAAAAGAGTGGATGGGACCGCGAAAAGCGTCGTTGTTGGTGAAAGATTGCGGGAGGAAAGGAGAGACGGGTGGGGAGATGAAGGTTCAAAAGCTCCCGCTGGGCAGGGGGTGTGGGAAGTTAAAATGAGCCGAGAATTAGTTCCTGAATAATCCCGGTCAATCGCCCTGCTTGCCCAGGCCGCGGCGAGGGCCCAGAACAGAGATCCCCAGACCTCCTCTCCTGACTGGCCGCTGACGAGTGGACCCACAATTGGACCAAGCGCAGGACCCAATTGATGCAGGTCCGTGGGCATTGTCATTGGTCGCCAGGTGGGCAGTTAAGTGCTCCCGTCGCAGTCGTGCCCTGAGTTGTTTGTGTTGATGTTTTGCTGGCGCCATCCAGGATTCGGCCTCAAATTAGATGCTCCTTACACACGAGCATGGCTTGCATTGTCAACGGTGAGAAAAAGAAAAAGGAGACAGACTGCACTAACTGGCGGTCAATTCAGGCCGGGGGCGGACGCCCTGGTCTCAACCGGAAACCGATGGATCTTTCTCCAGGTTCCCTTGCCTCACATCGCGGTATTAACCGACCGCTGGACGTTGGATTTCCAAGTTGTGAGTGGAGATGAAATCGGTCGAGAACACTATCATCTTGCTTGCAGGTTTTTCACATAAAGTGTTAAGGCGTCTTGGCCGTTGCGGCCCCTTTGATTGCAGCGTTGCGCGACCATGCTCGGCAGATGGCTCGCCCCAAGCCATGTTTCGTTGTTTCATCAAACGCCCAGACGACCTTCACCGTGTTTTAGCTACCCACATGGCCCATGATCGGGCCTTTCGACCTTCTTTTCCAGCCAACATCAGATGCCAATTCTACACTGTATTGGGAGCTAGCTATTTCCATCTGATGAACATTGTGGCAAAGCCGCGCTGTGCCGCCGATCGCTGCTCGCTGAAGGAGTCGAGACCTTTCCAAACTCCACCGAACATCAAGGAAGCTTGGAAGCAAGGTTTCAATACGGGATACGACAAGGTGCTGAGGAAAGATCCAGGAAACAGATCATCCAGCTTGCAAGAGGCAGTGCCAACGAGAAATTTAGCCTTTGAGCCAAGTTTATGCATCGTTCACCGTTTTGAGGATCCACTGCGTTTCCAGGGTGGGTGGCCCAAGCTTCATCCAGTGCCCCGCACCCTTTTTTTTCCCATTCGAGATTTGGCGATGGGAGGATTGGTTGGAGACGTCCACGCCGCACCATCAATTCCGAGAGTTTTCAGGATTCTTCCTCCCAGCTTATCGCCAAACTAGAAGGAGCAGTTAGCCGATACTTCCCTGCCAGCCGCGTCCCAGCCCCGACGCAGATCCCAAACACGCCGACCTCCGTCCGGCCGCAGTAAAGACCCAATAGTAGTCCGAAGTAGGTGCGACAAACAGACCAGAACCGTGACCGATACCCCACGAACTTCCACAGCCCGGCCTCCCCGCAATGCCGCTCGACACGTCCACCTACAACCTCGCGCTCCTTCGCGTTGATGGGCGGAGATGGAACGAGCTGCGCCGCGTGAACGCGCAAATCCGCACGCAAGCCGCCGCCGACGGCTCCAGCTACCTCGAGATGGGCCACACCAAAGTGATGTGCGTGGTGACCGGGCCGAGTGAGCCCGGGCCTCGCCGCGGTGGGGTCGGAGGAGCGGGAGGCGGGGGTGGGGGCGGCGGCGGCGCAGGCGGCAAGGCAGAGATTGTTGTCGGCATCGTCATCGCGGGGTTCAGTTCCGTGGACCGGAAGCGGCACGGACGAGGTGACAAGTAAGTTCGACCCCCCAACTACACCTACACCTACACCTACACCACGGCAGTGGACGGCCACACTACACATCAAACAAGCAGATAAGCAAGTAACTAACCTCTCTGCCTCACCCCCCTCACAGACGAACCCTCGAGCTGGCCTCGACCGTCGCCAACGCGCTGGCCGCCAGCCTGCACACGCACCTCTTCCCGCACAGCCAGATCAACGTGTCGCTGCACGTGCTCTCGCAGGACGGCTCGCTCCTCGCGGCGCTGATCAACGCGGCGACGCTGGCGTGCGTGGACGCGGGGATCCCCATGACCGACTACGTGGCGGCGTGCACCGCGGGGTCCACCTCGACGTACGCGGCCAACGACGAAGGCGCTGATCCGCTGCTGGACCTGAATCATCAGGAGGAGCAGGAACTGCCTGGGTTGACAGTGGCGACGCTGGGGGAGAGTGATCGCGTGGCGGTGCTGGTGTGTGAGAGTAGGGTGCAGGTGAGCCGGTTGGAGGGGATGTTGGCGGTGGGGGTGGACGGGTGCAAGCAGATGAGGGAGATATTGGATCGGGTGGTTCGGGATAAGGGGCGGCGGATGATACAGGAGGGGACGGTGGAGAAGGGGGTTGGGTTGGATGATATGGAGGTGGACTGATGTGATGCTGGTGGGATGTTGGATCGGATTTGCGATGCAGATACATGCCGACTGTGGCGAGCAGTGCAGGTGAGAATACCCATCTTTTTTTTCATTACTGTGTACACAACCAAACCCCGACAACACCTACACAACAACCTACTTGTGGAACTTTCATTATTCTGTGAAATGATCCAGCTACGCCCGGCGATGCCGCCGCTAACAAACAAACCTAGCGTTCCAGAACGAAAAAGCACATCAGAGCTCGTCGTGCGCGGTCTCGGGCTCCCCAGTGGGGTCAGCAACCTGGGTGGACTCGGTGGAGTCGTGCGCCGCGTCACCGCTAGCCTCAGGGTTAGCTGACGCAGCCTCCTCCACCGCAATGGCAACAATGCCCTCGGGCAGCTTCTTCTTCACTCCCTCGCTCATGCGGATGGCATCGATCCAACTCTCAACGCTCTCGTGCCCGAAGTCGGCCGCGTCGTAGTGCCTCCACCAGCCACGGCGGGCGTTGACGGCGATGATCTCGACGTCGCCAACGAGATCGAGCGATTTGAGCAGGGACGCCGCGCCGTCGTTGCTGTTGGGGACCTCGTAGAAGGGGAACAGGTTGCGCTTGCTCTGGGCGTGCTTGAAGGCCAACTCGGAGAGGCTGCTGAGCGCCTTCTTGGCTTTCTCGTCCTCGCTTGAGGAGACAATGGCCAACACGCAGGTGTGAGACTTCTCGGTCAGGCACTCCTTGATCAGCTTCTCGGGTGTGTTGATGGCGGGAATCGGTAGCGCGGTCTCGACGATGACTGGTGCTTCCTGCGTGGCGGTTTTCGTCTCCGCTTCGGGCTCGGCGGATGAACTCTCCGAGGACGAGGGCTTAGCCTTGGAGGCATTGCTCTTCTTTTCCTTGTTCTTGCCGTTACCCTTTACCGGCGAGACGGGGTTCGGTTGCCCGGCTTGCGAAAGGAATTTGACGATCGCCTCTTTCTTCAGTTCCCCGTCGTAGACAACGGCAGGAGCGTCGCCACCTGGGAGGAGGACCAGGGTCGGGAACTTCTCGATACTGAAAGTCTCAACCGCCTTCGCCTCCTTGTTCCGTGCCTGGCCGATGGTGATGACGCCCGCAAAGTCGATAGCGACGCTCTTCAAAAGTGCCGAGGTGGTGCCCTTCTCCGTGAAAAGAATTGCCTTGGGAGCCTCCTTGTCGTCCAAAAACTTATCCAGCGACTTGTCCTCGATCTTGACAACATAATTGTTGATCTGTTGCACGACGGCGTCGACGATGGCAGTGGCTGTCCGTTGCCCTTGATAGTCCTGAACCATCGGCTTGCCTCCACCCTTCTTTGGCCGGACGATCTTCAGAGTCGGGAAGCCCTGGACACCCATCGATCCACAGAAGGGCTTGTTCGCCTCATCGTCGCAGTCCACGGCGGCAACATTGGCCAAGCCCTCGAGGTTCTTGGCCGCCTTCTCGTACGCCGGCTTGAGGTTCTTGCAGTGGCCGCACCAGGGGGCGTAAAACTCGACGATCTGAAAGAGCAAAAGGGTCAGCGCGCGAATGGGTAGAGCAAACCCAAGGTGCCAACTTACAGAGGTGTAGTTGCTCTTGGCGATCAATCTCTCGTAGTTCTTGCTATCCACCTGTAACACAGGTGATTTCTTAGTGTAGAGCCCTGCCTGGGTGCCTGGAAGTGCAGACAGCAGGGCAACTGCCACAGCGCAGAGGGTGGGGTGATGCATAATGCAGTCGTTGGCTTCACAGCAACGCGGAAACGGATGTGCTTGCTCAAATGCGACTTGGATGTGCTTGGATGCACAGGATAGTGGGGTATTTACAGTATCGCAGGAAGGGAATCAATTCATTAGACGAGAGAGTCAATGCCTTTCGAGGTACTAGTGTGTGTTTTTATCCCCTTGCGGTGAGGAACAGACAAAGATTGGAAATCCAAGCTGGCATCTTTCCATCTTCGGCAAAAGAACACATTTCCAATGCCGCGAGAGCTGGTGCCACCCACGATCGAGAACCCCCTGGGGAGAAAAGCAAGCTCGGTCCTCGAGGTGACCAAAGCTCCCTGCCCCTCCTTGACTTACGAGGCTTGGCATCTCAAAAGGTGACGCCAGGCGCTCTCCCACCAACAAGCGGCAGTCTGACGACAAGCTCGAGGCGCAACGCAACTCGCACTCAATCAAGGCAGCAGGATTTGTTTTTCTTGGTCTACTCTTTATTTACCCTTGAAGCTTCTCGTCCTCCCCCCAACACCCATCTATTTTCTTGTCGATACCCGCAACCTGCAGCCCGCATCCACCTCCCACCATGGCCGACGCTGTTCCCCCTGCCCTGAGGCAGGCCGACATCAACATCTGGAAATGCGCCACCAAGGCTACGCAACTTCAGGCTGTGAAGCCTATAATGGCTTATTGGTGTATGTATTGCGCATAGCATTTGAGGGAATGGCAGGCCCTAATATTGTAGGCGAATACTGGGCTGTCAACCAAATACTCGCGAAGCAGCTGCACACGACGGACGAGGACATCCTGAACTACACAACAAACTTGATGGATAAGCTCGAGCAGGTACGGGCGGGCCCAGGGTTTCAAAACTCCGGGAACGGTGATATGGCGCTAACGGGCATCCGGCAGACGAAATCAGAACACGCGACCGAAGACGCTATCACAGACGACCTAGCGGGCCAGGCGTACGTGGAGCAGTTTGCGCAGGAGACATTGGACCGAGCGGAACGAGTGGTCAAGGCGAATCGGGTTACACAGTATGCTTAATATATCCGTTTAATTCCGGCGCACGCTGACCGGCCTCCAGACAAACCGCGACCACGTTCGACGCAGCGGCGACCTTCTTCCATGTCGCTAATATTTGGGGTCCTGTGGATCAAGAGACACAACAGAAGATCAAGTACGCCAAATGGAATGCGGCACGGATTGTGAAGGCAATTCGAGATGGAAACGACCCCAACGAATCGAATCCGAGACACGAAGAGGCGCCCCAACCGGAGCTAGATCCGAACGACCCCGCGGTTCAGAGCTTAGGCGGCGCTTCGCCAAACACAGGACCAAGGCCCGTGACGGTGGAGGATGTCCCTGACTCTGAAACAACCAAGGATGCGTCAGGCGTGTCATTGCCGCACAGCCCAGTCCTGGGCGAGCCATCTCCAATTTCTGACGGTGGGCTCCAACTCCCAGGGGTCCCAACAGATATGGCCGAACCTTCGCCGTCTAGCTACTTTGGCCCAGAGGCATCGATAACCCCGCCGCCACAGCATCCAAGTTACTCCCAAGCGTCTCCCAGCCTCCCGGCCCCGCCAACCGGATGGGCTCCATCCCAGCAGAGCCCAACAACGAGTCTTCCACCGACAGCATGGCAACAAGGCCCTGTTAGCCCAACCGACTCTGGCTTCTATCAGCAACCTTCAGCTCCCACAACGATACCCCCAACATTCGCCACAAGCCCTCCATCAACAGCTGCAGTAGCATCTCCGCCTGTTAGTCCGCCAACCAATCCTTATTACTCGAATACCACGAGGCCGACAGCCCCACCGGTAGCCCCGCCGGTTAGTTATGCGCCGGTCCAATCTGGGGGCTTCACGACGGATGAGGCGGCGATGGTCGGAGCACAGAAACACGCCAAGTGGGCCATATCGGCTCTCAACTTCGAAGACGTGCCTACGGCGGTAAGGGAATTACGAGACGCGTTGAGGTTGCTCGGCGCCACGTAGAAGGCGGGGGGTGATACGAGCCATGTAATGATTATTGTGATGAAATGCCTGCGTGCGATTCAAGTCCCGAAAATCTTGAGGTAATCATTGTCTCAGGAGGCCTGCTTCGGGAGGCTAGTTGCACCCGAGACACAATGCCGGTCCCGTCCTACCGCCAGTCCCAAACGGCAACATCGCACGCAAGACTGTCTCACAACATGTCATCTAGCCGCCGCGCCGATCTCGCGGTTACGCGGCAACCCTAGCAGAGTCAATTTAGCAGTTTACTCTTCCGCAGATCCGGTCCCAGGAGCAACACTGATCCCCTCCGATGCTGACCATACCGGAGAGCATCACCACAGCGGCTCGGCCCGAATGAGCCGTTCGATTTATTGAATTACTGCACGCATCACCTGTTGTGTATACACACCATCGAATCAGAGCCTCTCAGGGCCCAGCTGATACGCCAAGGTGGGTAGATGAGGCTGGGAACCATGCGGCCCTGCGGCTGCGATGTTCGCTCTGATCCAGGTCATTGGCCTTGGGCGCTTCCGCACAGTGTTCCCCAACATCCGGGAGGCTTGCGCGGCGTGGGTGGCTTCGGGGGGGGCGTGGGGGTCGTAATCGAGCTGTAAATTATGGTCTAGAAATTTTGGATTATAAGAGAGGTCCTTCGATGCCTTGTTAATAAAACGAGGTCAAATCAAAAAGAAAGCGGAGAACGGGGAAGTCAAAGGCCTTGACACTCTACTAAGTGTCTTCCCGGCTCTCACGGTCATCGCCCTGCTACCTGCTCAACTCTCCCTCCCAACCGAATCAGCTCCATCTCCCAAAGTAGCGCTCTGTGAGTCGAAGGAAACGGGTGAGTTGAGTCAACATCGCCTTGTGCCCCGTGCTGACTCGGCAGTCTACCTACCGCAGACCTCTACCGCAAACCTCGGATCGGGCAACTAAACTTAAGATGGACAACAAAGACAACAACTACTCATACAAGAACTCTTCATTAAACCCTGGGGATCCGGTTAAAGCTGACTGGCGCACACGCGTCTATACGCCATTGCCCGCACCACCATCGGGAGGGAACAGTGGCAACAGAGATGGTTCTTGCCGGGGCAAGCGATAAACCATGGGTATTGTGGGGGCATGTCGAAGAAGAAGTATAGTTTGGACTTGCCAAAAGGCTACTATGGAACTCGGTTGTTACAATAGTTAGGCAGTAGTTCTAGATCGTGTTGCATCAGACGAAAACAAGATGACGGCAACACGGATCCGAACTTAACACTAAAACCGCAACATTGACAGCCTCAATAAAAACAAAGTTTCGTTACAGATCACGTAGCAATAGTCTTCGGATTATGTTGTTGTTTCGTTCTTGTGCAACGCAACCCGAGTAAACAGTGTTAAAAGGTGCCAGAACAAGCCAAAAATGACGGGTCTACAGCTACCTGTATTACCTGTACTCTAACACAATTTTATCCTGGCTTCGCAGGTATGTTGTCCAACTGGGACAAGATACGTAGCTGGGATCACGCCTTGTACTCTTATATTGCCAACAGCAAACAACTATAACTGACTCTGGCACTTGCCGAACGAGCATTCACCTTCGTTACCCACGCACAACTTGCAATCTACTCCTAATCTGGCACTTTCAAATTCTCACGCTCACTATTTTGTTTCTTTTCTTCTTTGCTCAACAAATGTTTTCAGAGTAGGCGCGCACTCGACTTACAACCGTCCACTATCTACCTCTGAACTTTCTTCGCGACTTTCGCCTTTGCTGTACAACCTCGTCAAGACAACCTACCCACTGGGAATCTACAAAATGATGTCGCCAATCGTCTCGGCGGCCGGGGTCGCGATGCTTCTTCTCCGCGGAGCCCACGGCCACATGGTCATGAACTCGCCGACTCCTTACAACCTCGACATCCAGCCGTTGCTGCAGGTTGACCCTATTAGTGGCGGTCTCTACCCGTATCCCTGCCATAATCAATATGGTTTTACCCATCGCACCCCGGTCGAGGCTGGCGGAGCGACCTTGGTCAATTTCACAGGGTAAGTCTGCCAAGTCAAGGTTATCAACAGTAGCGATCCAGCAACTAACAGTGTTGGGTAGCGGTGGTCAGCACGGCGGCGGTTCGTGCCAATTTAGCATTACCTACGACGAGCCTATCAACGGAGAGGACTGGAACAAGTCGGCCAGCTTCAAGACCATCTACAGCATCATCGGTGGCTGTCCGGCCGTGTTTACCGACGAGTCTCACAACCTCGCGACCGTGGCCGTAGACGAAAACAAGCGCCAAGATGGCAAACATTGTGGCAATGACTCTGGTGTTGACTGCATCCGCCAGTTCATGATTCCGATTCCCAAGTTGTGAGTTAGAGCCCGGGCGGCACCCATGTTCGCAACTCAAAGATTAGGTTAAACTGACACTCGTGCACAGCCTGAAGAATGGCCCCGCTACCTTTGCCTGGACCTGGTTCAATAAGTTGGGAAACAAGGAGATGTACATGTAAGTTGTTGGGCGGTCTCCCGTCGATTGCTGGTATTTCTATGTTCCTAACCGCTTTTTTGCCTAGGAACTGTGCTCCTATCAAGATTACTGGTGGCACTGGTAACGAGACGGAGATCGAGAATCTGCCTAACATCTTTGTGGCCAACTACCCCAATGACCCCGAGGTTACGAACTGCATCACCGGCACCCGTTCCGACAATGTTGTGGTCAACTTCCCCGAGCCGGGCAAGTACGGCCGCGTGCTTCAGGACCCGGTTGAGCCCGTGAATAAGCCTTCGGGTTACTGTACCCAGATCCCACCCGCTCGATCGCTCCCTACCTTTGAACCAGGCCTGACCTTGGCCGCTACCCCGGTCGGAAAAGCTGGCCCGGCTACCACTACTCCCACCCCGCCGGTGGAAGACACCACAAGCCCAGCCCTGGGACACTCGGCCAACGATCCCATCACGGAGTCTGCCGAAGTAACCACGCCCGTCCCGACACTGACTCGATCCCCGCCCCCGATAGTCATCCCTGCCAACATCACCACGACCATCATGAAGTCCTCAGCCATCGACCTCGGCGTCAATCCCACGCCCTTAACCACGCCTACGCCGACCCCCACCCCCGCCGCTGTAGGTACGGGTGCCATTGCCAAGAAACCGAACAGCAAAGCCGTCGCCTGCCCAAGCCACGGCTCGATAGTTTGCCTCGATGACGGCACCTTCGGCCTGTGCGACTGGGGCTGGGTTATGCCTCAGCGCGTGGCGGCCGGCACTGAGTGCAAGGAGGGCAAGATTGTTAAGCGTGATGAGGGAAATCTCGTCAAGCGTGGCGGGGGCGAGGACTACTAATATGAGTGGAAAGGCCTCAAGGTAGTCCCCTTTAGGCAGGAAGAGGATGGCCTGCATAAGAGCTATACCTAGTTGGCCTATCAGGTGGACTAGTCTTCCGCGTTCTTCTGATAATTTCACAGGAGAAAGTTTCTTAGCTTCCATGAGTAAGGAAGGTATGCTACATACTAGATATGACTGCTGACATCCCATCCATTGTGATCTGACAAAGACGACGGCATGAAGCACCTGATCACTAATAAAATATGACGTACCGTTGCACTAACCGCAGCACCAGAGGCGTCGTGAATATGATTTTGCCCCGTGGGCTTACTGAAGCTCCGACAACGGCAACAGCTGAGCTGACGGACCCCAGCCGAGATGCAGCCCAAGATGTAAGATTAGTCTAGAAAGTGGATTTATACCCCTGATACCCCTCTCGGGCCTTTCCACTAAGCGCAATACCACCCCCAGCATCAGCGCCAAGTTTCAAGTTCCAACCCCTCAACCACGCTTACAAGATCACCGCCATCAACCACCATCATGCCCATTGACTTCCATCTTGGCCCAACCGAGGCGGCCACCCGCGCTGCCGCTGCCGGGTTTGCTCAGAATGTTCTCAAGCCCGCTCGTGCCGAGTACCTCAAGTACACGGAGCATTCCGAAAGATTCCAAGCCACTCAGCCGGCCTATGCTGCTGCTGTTCAAGGCGGTTTACTGAAAGGCCAAATCTCCCCTGCTCATGGCGGCAACGGTGGGAGTCTTGTCGAAGCGGCCATTATGGTCGAGGAATGCTACTCTGTTGAACCTTCCGCAGCGCTCACGATATTCGTATGTAATCGAAATCCGCCCCCCTAACGAAATCCAAACCCCCAACAAACTAACACGCACTCCCCATCCACCAGGCCACCGGCCTCGGCCTAACCCCGCTCAACATCGCCGGCAAGCCCGAGCACGCCGAGTTCCTAGCGCCCTTCCTCAGCGGCGAGGGCACGCCCCTCGCCTCCCTCGTCTTCAGCGAGCCCGGCGGCGTGGCCAACGCGCTCGAGAAGGGCGCGCCCGGCTTCCAGACCACCGCGCGCCGCGAGGGCGACGAGTGGGTCATCAACGGCGAGAAGATGTGGGCGACCAACTGCGCCGGCTGGGACTTCCAGGGCTGCGACCTCGCCTGTGTCGTGTGCCGCGACGTCACCGACGACGACACCACCTCCAACCCCAACTCCGGCAGCGCCCCTGAGTCTGACCCGCGCGACCGCGTCATGATCATCCTGGTCACGCGCGCGGACCTCGAGCGCAGCGGGCCTTCATCCTTCCAAGTCCTGCGGCACATCAGCACACCCGGCCACACCTCCGTGTCCGGCCCACACGTCCGCTACACCAACGTGCGGGTGCCTGCCAAGAACGTGCTGTGCGCGCCCGGGCAGGGCGCGCAGGTGGCGTTTGGGGCGTTCGACGCGAGCGCCGTGCTGGTGGGCGCGATGGGGGTGGGGCTGATGCGCGCGGCGTTTGAGGCCGGGTTGGGCTTCGCGAAGAGGGATGCGCGCGGGGGCGCGGTGCCGTTGTTGGAACGCCAGGCCGTGGCCGATTTGTTGTCGGGCGTGAAGATGCAGGCCGAGGCGGGCAGGGCGTTGACGTGGAAGGCGGCGTGTGCGATGGAGAAGGGGCCGGGGGGGTATGAGGCGCGGAGGGAGTTGGCGCTGGCGGCGAAGGTGTGGTGTAGTGAGGCGGCGGTGAAGGCGTGCGTGGATGTGATTAATGCGGTTGGGGTGTGAGTTCTTTTCTCTCTTTTTTTTTTTTTTTGTCTTGATTGGTGGTTTGGCTTGACGGGCATCGTTGCTAATACGGACTCGATAGGACGGCATATGATGTGGACCAGCCCTTTGCCGAGCTGTTGAACAACGCGATGGTGTTGCCCATCTTTGACGGTGGCAATGTTGGGATTCGGAGACGCCACTTGCAGCAGTTGATGCTATCCCCAAAGTACGACGCGTGGGCAGCGACATATGGCCCGTCTGAGACGCCATAAATTAAGGTCTCTACAGGACACACTGGGGCAACAAAAATGTTATCATGTTGGTGTTATTTGGTAGGAGGGACAATAAAAATAGGATCCATCGCTAAGCGTTTTGGGTCTTGTCTTATTGTTATTCGTTCGAGTTAAATCTATCACTCTCAACCCCCTATCCTGGTTCTCCCGGTTTTTCACCTTTACCCTCTCCTGACCGCTGGCTGCGGTACTCAGATTTCGAAATGATTGTCTTATTAGGAAGAGGTGCCAGAGGGAGCGTAAAGACACGGGGTCTCGGGAACCCCTCTTATCATACGCTGCGTGGCGAGGAGGTTCCTTTTTGTGAGCCTATCTCCGTCACAGCCACATACTTCAATGGTCCAGCCGTTAGAGCAACAAGTAGACCGAGCGGGGTTAAATAAATCCAGTGTTGACAAGTCTGCTCGCCGGAACCAGCACAAAGATTTGTGTGGTTGGTCGACCACTCTGGGCCGGATAACAAGTTTATGCTTATGTAGTGTATTCTTGCGTTATATTTCATAGGTAAAAGCAGAGATGAGGGGGGCGTAACCCTTCGGTATCTTACCTCTAGATACCTTAAAGTCTCGCCCACAACTGTAATCCTCCTACTGAAGAAGTATAATAGCATAATGACGCGGAATCACGGCTCTGTGATAAGAGGAACGCCGCATTTCTTCATCAGGTTCAACGCCTCGGGATACGTCGCCACAAATAAGCGCCAAAATCCCCAATATGAAACGATCGGTACATTCTGCGCCGTCAATTTCCACCTCGCCCTCTCCCCGTGTACATCAACGTCCCCCATGAGCCGCCACAGAATCCACAGGATCAACCCCGCGATATTCCTCTGCTGCTGCTCATCACGCCCCGACGGCTGGCGCATACAATAGTACCACGCCCTGGCAAACTCATTCAGCAACGTCGGCACCGCCATCACCGTGGCATTGGTGCGTATCATATGGCCCACCCACCCAACATACGGCTCGGGCATCCCCCACGGCCTCACCATCTCCAACCGCCGCCACGTCTCAGCCTCCACCGCCCTCAACCGAAACCCCACAACCTCCCCGGTCCCAGCAAGCGGCACCCCCACCACCCCGGCCGTACGACCCCCCCTCTCCCTCACACCCCCCTCCCCACCACCACCACCACTCCCCTCCCCTCCAACCACCACCACCCCCGGCGGGGGAGGGTACACCGCCCACCCGACGACCCTGGCCCACGACAAGATCACGCCGGACCCCATCCTCGGGGCACACGATCCCCACGTGGGGCGGGAGGGCCGCGGGGTGGTGGCGGACGGCGGCGGGCTGGTGGCCCCACACGGCGAGGGCGGCGCGCCCGCTCACGGCGTAGTGCCGTGTGCGAAGAAGGACGGCGTCGAAGGTGTCGAAGGAGGCATTTGAGGGTGGCCGGGGTGAGTGGGGTGGTGGAGAGCGGTGGGGGGGAGAGCGGTGCGCGGCGGGGG